CAGAGGTCACCCGCTCACTACATGGACTCTCACACTACACAGACTGTTACACTATACCCTGGACTACATTTCCCATCATCCATTGCACTGATTACACCCACAGCCGTAAACAATCACACACCCTACATAAGCCATGGACTTCCTCTCTTTCACTGCCGAGTATTGTTCTGCGTTTATCACTCTCTTAGTGATAGCTGCTTTACGGAGCCATTTCGTGTTTTCATAGTCTAGTCTGGTCATGTTATTACCTGTTTCCTGATTCCTGCCTGTGTACCTTGGATTATCCATTGTTTTACCGTTCGGACTCTGATTGCCCCGGCCTGGACTATTGCTGCGTACCTGGATTATCTCTCTTTGCCATGCCCTGTTGGATATTGTTCGCCGGAGTCTGATCACGTCTGTCCTTGGACTACTCTTGTGTTTTGCCCATGCCATACCTGTTTGCTGGTGTTTCGACCCTGCCTCTGTCTAATAAAGCTTGCAAATGGATCTGCACGTCTCTCGTCTCGTTCGCCCTGTTACAGAATACTCAGCCACACAAGGATCCAGCAGCTTTTCAGAAGAACATTGGCCAGGTATGGACACAGCACGAATATTATTAGCTCTTAAACAAGGCCCGCGTTCGCTGGAGAACTATATTCAAGAGTATCTAGCCATTGCCTATTACTCTGATTTACCGGACTGTTTGTTGATAGAGTTTTTTTGCGAAGGTATTAATCAACCACTGATGTCTAAGCTTAGACGCGAGGGTCCGCGTTCATCACTCTGTCAGTTTATGGACTATGCTTTGTTGTGTGTTGGCCTTTCATTCACTGTGGGTGTCGCGGAGGAGGAACGCAACACCGTGTCTGTGACTGAAATGGCGGAGGCATCAGAATGCACTCACATAATGGCGGCTAAAACAACGGAGACTGTTCGCAAAATGGCGGCCACAACAACGCACCGTCATTTCTCGGGTGCCATTCCTGAGTCAAGTCAAGTCACAGCTGATCTTCATGAGTCAAGTCACGTCACAGTTGTTCTTCATGAGTCAAATCACATCACAGTTGATTGTCATGAGTCAAGTCGTCACAGTTGATCTTCATGAGTCAAATCACGTCTCAGCTGATCTTCCAGAGTCTCGTCACGTCTCAGCTGATATTCCAGAGTCACGTCATGTCTCAGCTGATCTCCCAGAGCCTCGTCACATCTCCGCTGATCTTCCAGAGCCTTACCAAAACCTTTAATGATTTACACCGCGTGCATAATTATTAGGCATGTTGATATTCTGATGATATTTTTTCCAAGCATATTTGACCAACTCCAAACCACATCAATCTTAATAACTTCTATTAATTTTGTATTTAATAATTTATGAGTGATATATAATTGTCCATGAAGGCTAGAAGAGAAAAACTTCTTATATTCAGGTGTGCAGAATTATTAGGCAATTTTCTTTTACAGATGAAATGAGCCAAAAAAGAGGTTTAACTCGAACTCTATTAAATCATGGGGAATTGCTTTCTGGTGTGTATCTGGTGTGTGCTGGTAGTATATTCACTACCACCAAAGTTCCAGAGCCAGCGACGTCCGCGGAAGGATTGCCAGAGGTGGCGGCTGAGGCTGCAGAACCTCCAGAAATGGCATTGCCCGCTCCAGATCCTCCAGAGGTGGCGGCTGAGGCTGCAGAACCTCCAGAGGCGGCGGTGCTCATTTTGGATTCTACGGAGGTGGCGGCACATGCTGCAGAACCTCCTGAGGTGACGTCTTTCACTTCAGCTCTGGTTACAGTAGTGGCGCCCATTACTGAACTGTCTGCCCGTCCAGTCACGGCTATGAAGGCCGTCTGGGAATCCTCGTCCTGTCCTGTCACGGCCATGGAGGTCGTCTGTCAATCCTCGTCCTGTCCTGTCCTGTCACGGCTATGGAGGCCATCTGTGAATCCTCGTCCTGTCCTCTCCTGTCACGGCTATGGAGGCCATCAGTGAACTCTTACTGTGCTCTGAACCGGCCGATGAGGCCATCTCCGAACTCTCATCCTGTTCTGAATCAGCCATGGAGGCTGATTGTGATCGGTCTGTCCATCTAGATGCTGATTTTGAATGCTCTGTCTTACCATATCAGTCTGATCATGAACTGTCAGTCTGTCCAAGATCAACCTATGAATCAGTTTTTGAATTGTCTGTCTGTCCCTTTTCCCCTAATGAGTCTGATGTTGAACCATCTGTCTGTCCAGTTCCAAACAAGGAACCTGTTATCTGCCCCATTAGTCCAGTTATGAGCCCAGAAAATATAAATGCACTCCATGTTTGTCCCGTTAACCCTGTCACTGCCATAGAGACAATTCATGAACTGTCTGCTTGTTCTGTTCCCCTAAATGTGTCTGAACTGTCTGTCTTGCCAGTCCTAGTCCGTTTATGAATGGTCTGACCGAAGTTTAGGCTTGTGGGAATGGTCATGATATTTAAATAACCTTGGTATGGATGAAAATGTTTCATTTTGAACAGTGTGTGTTGTGCAAGACTTTATAAGAAGTTATTAAAACTTGCAGGAATACGCCCCACTGGAAGCATGTGATTCATGCATGATAAAGGAACCACACAGGGCGTGGCTA